GAGATGAGAGTTATTTTCGGCACACTGATGTGATGCAACAGCGCTTTTGCACTTAATGATATGACTGACTGAAAGGTATAATCTTCCTAATTGCAGCCTCCAGCTGTCTTGTACCTTTGTTCATTGTATGTGATGTCAGCAGGGGACATTGGGAATTGTAGTTCGTGTCTGCTAGGGGAGGAACACGAGGCACGGTTTGGTTCGCTAGCTATTATCTGACACTCGCATGACTTCCACACAGATACAGTTAGTGACAGCGTGGACTAGCATCCACCTCCATGCCAATTTACAACAGTACAGCTGGTGCTGTAACTGTAAAACAAATTGATGCCACATCATAGAAAAAAGACATCCCAGCATCTGTTTACACAAGAACTGTGGTGAAAATAAGGCAACTCATTACAAGTGTTCATAAATGATGAGCTGGAACTTAAAAACTAATTTGCATTATTTGTAACTAGCATTTACAGATGGTAAACTACCTTATATATTTATGTGTTTGTTAATGGTCTCTAATTTTCTTACAAATGACTTTATGCAAGTCTGCGTAAATTCTGGAGCTGTGAGTCCCAGTCGAATCTCAAGTCTCTGAGTTGAGTTGATGGTAGTTTGAGTCAAGTTTTAAGTCTCTAAGGTACGAGTCTAAGACACGTCTCAAATTCCCAAGATGCAAGACCAAGTCAAATCTTTGAGTTTGTAGTGTGAGTCAAATCACAGGTCTGTGAGATCCGAGACTGAAACAAGTGTCCAGTCTCTGAGGAGAAGGAGAAGTCAAATCTTGATTCTCTGAGGTATGAGACAAAATCAAGTGTTGAGTCTCTGAAATATGAGTCTGAGGAAGTCTCAAGTCTCTGAAACGCAAGTCTGAGACAAGTCTGGAATTTCTGAGATCTGGGTCTGAGTTTATTGTCAAGTCTCTGAGGTGTACATCCAAGTCAGGTCTTGAGTCAGGTCTTGAGTCTCTGAGGTGTAAGTCGGAGTCAAGTCTTGAATCTCAGAGGTGTGACTTTGAGTCAGGTCTTGAGTCTCTGATGCGCGAGTCTGAGTCGAGTCATGGATCTCTGAGGTTTGAGTCTGAGTCAGGTCTTGAGTCTCTCAGGTGAATCCTAGTCAAGTCTTGAATCTCTGAGGTGTGAGTCTGAATCAGATCTTGAGTCCCTGAGATGTAAGTCTAAGTCAAGTCTTGTGTCTTGCGTTTTCAATCTCAGGTGTGAGTCCGAGTTGAACCATTGAGGTGTAAGTTTGAGTCAAGTCCCAAGTCTCTCAGGTGTGAGTCAAGTCTTGACTCTCTGAGGTGCGAGTCTGAGTCAAGTCTCAAGTCTCTAAGGTGTGAGTTTGAGTCAAGACTAAAGTCTTTGAGGTGCAGATCTAATTTGACTCTTTAGACACTTAAATGCAAGTCTGAGTCAAGTCTCAGGTCTCTGAGGTGTGTCTGCATCCAATCTTGAGTCTATTAGGTGTGAGTCTGAGTGTCCAAGCCTTACGTAATATATCCCAACATCTCTCCTTTATGTGATAAGTGTAAACAAGAGACGGAAATGCTTAGCCATCAGTTCTGGTCCTGCCTTAAACTAAATTCCTTTTAGACTCTAATATTTGACTAAATATCAATGGACCAGATCCATTACTTACTACTTGTAGTCATAAATTTATCCATTAATAAAATATGAAGGCCAAGACATTTCCCTCTGTATGTTGTTGGCCAAATGCCTTATCTTACAGGAGTGGAAGTCAGAGGTTAGCCCCTATTCCAGCAGTGGCTTTGGGATCTGAGGAATGTGCTGCATCTGGAGAGACTTTGAAGAAAAAAAGTGGAAGGAGAAACAATGCTTTAGTTGTACATTGTACAACTTGCATCTGTCCTTCAAAAAAAAGGTTAAGTTAAAAAAAAAGTCTCAAGTCTCTCAGGTGTAAGTCTGAGACAAGTCTCTAGTCTCTGAGATGTGAGCCTGAGTCAAGTCTTGAGTCTTTGAGGTTTCAGTCTGAGTCAAGTCACAAGTCTCTGAGGTTCAAGTCAGAGTTAAGTCTCAAGCCTCTGAGGTTTGAGTTTAAGTCTTAAGTCACTCAGGTGTGAGTCCGACTCGAGTCGGAAGTTTCTGAGATGCATGTCCAACTCAGACAACTCGGAGGCAAATGTCCAACTTCTGAGGTGCGAGTCCAAGTCAAGTCTTAACTCTTTAGTCAGAAACTCTCTAACTGGTTTTATAATGCTGAACCTATGATATTATTTATACAAAATGAAAGTTCACAAACCCATAATCTACAGCTTGAGTCAATTATAGTAAGACTAAGTCTGAGCTGAGTTAGTCAGTCAACATGCAACTCATGCAACTGCAATCCAAATCTGAATTATTGACTTAAGTCCCAATTTCTGCTTTCTGCTGTCTCATTTCTTTCTGTTTTACTTTGTGGGTGTTCATCTACATATTACTCTAATGTTAAACTAACACACCAGTAACGACTCAAAATCAGTCTAGATGCTTTACTTTAGCTTGGAATAACTTCTGGAGGGCTACAGATCCCCTCCAAAATGCCTGGGTACACTGGTCCTATAGATAGCATATTAATGCCTTTTTCACACAACAACTTCCTTACAGCAACATCCACCTCTTCAGTGTCCTCAGTGTCCTGTACTTTATGGAAAGTAATGATTAGCTCAAGTGTTCCCTTTGTGGATTCCACCGTTGACTTGACTGGCAGGTGACAGCTGTCGGTGTGCTGTGTCATCGAAATAAAGTACATTTTCCTCCATGTTTAGAGCAGCGGTCAGCATGTGAGCTCTATCAGTGAGCAGTGTGACAGGTCTACAAGCACCGCCATGTCTATGGCATAAACCTGTTCTCTGTCAATGCTAATGATGCCAGGATTAAAAACTGGGATTGGCTGTCATAGTGATTGATAAGGGTATCACAGGGGAAGGGCTGGCATTTAAGAGACTATTATGTCTTAAAATGCTTTTAAAGCTCTTTTGATTAGTGCCACTGCGGTCATCTTGGGAAGAAAGTTTGAGCCAAGCTGTGAGCGTAGTAGAAAACTGTCTTCTAAAGATTTTTTTCAAAAAGTCACTTAGATTGGCAGTGCCATGTGGCTGAAAATGCAGTCATACTTATGTCGATTTTTGTTGATAACAGTGTGTAATACAGTGTAAGAAACCACATGAGCAAGTCTATTAGAGATTAAGAACCAAGGTTTTTAGGCAAGTGTGCTTCCATTTTGTATCCATTACTTGTTAGCTATATTATACATATTTGCTATTGTTTTTAGCTTTTTTATAATTAAAAAAATATATATTTCAAGCAGGAAAAGTGCAGAGCTAATCAGTGTGAATTGTAGAAATCTACTTGAGGCTAAAAATCTAGTAGTTTTCTTACTTTCTAGCATATTGGATAATTTCTTAGCTTGTTCTAGAACAACACTTCAACTCAAAGCTTCCTTGGCATAAAAAATTGCAGAAAGTCTTAAACAATGTGTTCACCTGAATTCCTGTTAGAATTTGTATTTAGCGTCATGATGGACAGTTCCTTATCTGGTATAATATAGTGGGTAACACCTCTGCCTTCTATGCCGTAGAGTGGGGTTCAATCTCCGGCCTGAGCGAGCACCCTACGCTATACCAATATGAGACCTTGGACAAGACACTACCTTCACCTACCTATGTAAAATGATCAAAATTGTATGTCGCTTTGGATTAGAGCGTCTGCCAAATGCCACACATGTAAATCTACACTCTTTGAAAATGAAATTCCCAAAATGGTTCTAGCAAAAACACACTAGAACCTGTACAAATGTTCTTCACAGATGCACAGCTTATTTACAAAAATATTTAACCTTTCGATGAAAGATTCTTTAGGGTACCAAACAGTGGCAAACTCTGACTATCTTTCAGGTCAGTCCAAAAATATCAAAACTCACCTCTATGGTTCCGCTAGCACCCTCATGGGATTACTAATAGTATGTTAGCACTAATCTGGTGCACTTTAAAAATTTTTGGCCATTCTAGTTTAAACTCAGACCACTGAACCTTGTAAAAGGCATTCCACATGTTTGATCTGAAGCTTATAACAGACATTAACATATATTTTACCCTGTATTTTACAATGATGAGCTCTGAAATTCAGCTGTCACCATTTCTAAAACCAATTGCAACCTAAAATTGCAGCCTGAGTCAAGTCTCGAGTCTCTGAGGTTCAAGTCAGAGTTAAGTCTCAAGTCTCTGAGGTTTGAGTTTAAGTCTTAAGTCACTCAGGTGTGAGTCTGACTTGAGTTGGAAGTTTCTGAGATGCATGTCCAACTCAGACAACTCTGAGGTAAATGTCCAACCTCTGAGGTGCGAGTCCAAGTCAAATCTTAAATCTTTAGTCAGAAACACCTAAAATTGTTTTTATATTGCTAAACCTATGATAAACTCAGACCGCTGAACCTTGTAAAAGGCATTCCACATGTTTTATCTGAAGCTTATAACAGACATTAACATATATTTTACCCTGTATTTCGCAATAATGAGCTCTGGAATTCAGCAGTCACCATTTCTAAAACCAATTGCGACCTGGTAGGATTACCCTTTGAAGTCAGTGATATAGGTAGAACTTCCAGAAGGTCTAGAGTGACATTTTTGTCACAAAATTGCCCTCACATATTACTTGGTTCATCAGTTACTGCTTATGTTAATCTAACACTTAAGGTCTTCTGTCCAGATCCTGAAGGCCTGAACAGTGGGAGATTGGACCAAAACATACTACTGCAATATTTGCAGAGTTTAAATATAGCATGTATAAAATTCTATTACATACAAATGAATTAGAAATTGCATGGTCTTGAAGGCCCTGAGAGTTCCCCACTTGAACCAAAAGTGTTTCTTCTATGACTTGGCTTCAAAGAACCCTTTTACAATCTATATATAATCCACATTTATTAATCTCTTGGGGAAAAAAAGCTATATTCATAAAACTGAACCAAAGGTTTTATTCTAAATGACTGTTCTGACTTGTCCCCCCTTACAGTCGATCCGGGAGGTGACGGGTTATGTTCTGGTGGCTCTGAACCAGTTTGACTATCTGCCTCTGGAGAACCTGCGTATCATCCGCGGCACCAAACTGTACGAAGGCCGCTATGCTCTGGCCATCTTCCTCAACTACAGGCGAGACGGCTACTTCGGCCTCCGGCAGCTGGGCCTCAAGAACCTCACCGGTATTTTATTCTACCTCTACCTCTCTTTCTTTCTCCTCTCTCCCTTCCCTCTTTTCCTTTCTGACTCACTCACTTGCTCTCTCCAGCGCAAACTCTCAGCCATTTCTTTTAAATTGTTATTGTTACAGGCCTCAATCAGCACAGCAAGCCAATTATGACTTCATCCGACTTGTTGCATTGCGACTTTGGATGGAGAAATAATTACAGCCCTATGAAGTGCATTTCAAATGTTTCTAGCTCCAACATTGCATGGCGTTTCTGTTCCAATTAAATGCAGTTTTTCTGACCTGCCCTTGCACTTTTTTTAACCATAAAAGCAAATTAATAGCTTTTCTAATTAAGCCACAGAATGCAAATCACTGCTCAAAGGGAACGAGAAATGCAACATTACACTCATTTAGTGACACAAAAAGTTTAGTTAGGGATAAAGTTCAGTAATTACTGTTATTATTGTTAAATGAAATGAAATTAAATGAAATTATTTACACAATGGTCTCTAATGTCTGTGTTCAACATCCATTCGGACCCAGCAAACAGACCTATGTACATGTAATTAATTCAAAGTATGTTAATTCTGTTAGTAAGATTTTCCAGTGCAGAACATTCCCAAAAAGCCTAGAACTGGGTGCTTTGTTTGCATTGTCTGTCCTTTTCATGTATCTATTGGAAGAGGTTCGATTCCTGAGGCTACCACTGGGCCATTCTTGAGAAAGGTCTTAAGAAAAAGCTTCCGTCAGATTCTTAAACTGCAAAATTGTTCACACCTTCATGCTCTTGAGAATGTGTAGATTCTGTTCTTACCTAAGAATGAAATGTCAGAATCTTCGTGAAAACATGGGTTTTAAGAAAACATTTCTTCTTACAACCAGTTGGTGAATGAGGCGCAGTGTTTTTAATGAATGTCCACACAACACCACCGACATTTGCTGTTGACGCACCTTGCCAGTCAGCAACTTCCAGCACTGCTCAGTGCCTCTGAGCTTATCAACTCTCTGTTATTGCATTACCAGACCATAAAAAGCCGTAGTAGATGACATGTGGCTTGAAATTTACAACAAGAAAGGCAGTCAATTTAAGGTCTTTCAGATAAACAGACACATGCTAATCGTCTGTTACCTTAGCCTTAGCATTGCTAGCTTAGTCACAATATTATTCATGTAGTTTTCTACCTGTTTAGCCGGAAAACAGTGAGTTTGTGAAGAGATAGTTAATCGATACCAAACTTGACCAAATCAGTAAATGATATTGAACTTTTTTGTTATTCCATTTCATTCCATATAACCATTCAAATAGCTGAAAATTTCTTGTCTTATAGTGTCACTAAAATTTTTAAACCGTACATTTTTAGCCACATTCTGCTTAGAAGTTTGTTTTTGCCTAAAAGTAAAATCTTATTAAAAAGAATTTTATTCTGTTTCTTCTTTTAACATATGTGTGCAAACAATATAGCTCCAATTGACTGATGTATAGACCCAATTCGTTCTTATTTGGTAGGCAACATTTGAATTCAATGACTCGTTGATGGGAAATCTCATTTTTAGAGGAGTAGTTATGACATTCGCCCACTCTTTTATCTTTCTTTCTATCAGTCTTTCTTTTTTTACACCCTAATTTTACTCATTCTATAGCCTAATGCTGTTTTTCTTGCCTTAAAAGTAAAAGCAAATGTCATTTTTACTGTTGTCCACATTTTGAAATGATAATGAACACAACAGAACTATGAAATGATGCTTTGAACAATTTACAGAGTGAAGAATTTGTAGTCATTACCAGCATAATGGTGTGGGTGGAGTTTTTATAGGCTCCTCCCTGAATTATATGAAAAATCTCAGGGGAAATTTAATGTAACTGGAATTACATTTTTACTGTGCTGCTCTGATGTTGGGAAGTAAAATAATACTTCATAAGAACAGCCTTGTTAATGCATTCTCTCGGTCTTATCTTGACACCTTTATCATAATACATGTTATATAGTCATGTATTTCAACATGCAACTTCTTAATGACCACTAATACGTATGAATTTTGACTCTTTTCTAAGCACAGGGAAACTTATAGAAATGATGAAAACCTATGCTTTCTTGCCATTAAAAAGAAATGAATTTGTAGTAGAAGTCACATTCAGAAAGTCCTATGAGAGCTATGCAATATGTCTGTGTAGTATTCCTGGAAACGTGACTGAAGTAATACCTGCTGCACTTCCTTGAGTTCAGAAGAAGATAAAAATAGGATTTTTTTTCAGAGAAGATATTATCAAGTCTTTAAAAATAGAACTGGTTTCTATGGCTACACAGGAATGGCATAAGACTTCTGGGGCATTTAATGTGACTCTTCATCTTCTGTATTAAAGTGTATTAAAGTGACATACTGTGGACAGAGCTGGGTTGTGATTAGCTTCATTTATTCAGTCAAATGGGCTGATGTGCAATTATGATGTATTTGCATGTTCAAATGATACACTACTCAAGTACATGTATTCTACTTTTTTTTTATTGTAGTCATTCAAATTTTGTTCCCAAACGACTTTTTGAGCTCTAATTTCATTCTTCTGTTGGTTCAGCTCCGGAACTGCTGTTCATATCTCTCACTTTTGAGATTCTCTTTATGTAGTAGAAGGAATAGAAGGTATCACATGCTTCAGCGTTTTATTTTATACCAAAAGGATCCAAAAGTGAGTAACAACTTCTGTTGTTACGCTGATAGATGCTGGATCTAAGAAGTTCTGCTGCAGTTTTATTCATGAGAGGTTTTTGGACTTGATACATCTTTACTCAAGTTGGTTGTTTTATCATTTTTTTTTAAATATTTTTATATATTTATATCTGGCAAGAGGACTTTTAAGAGCAAACACTAGTCTTTTGTGAGTATTGCTATGCAGGCAGAGCTTTTTAAAAATGTCCTAAATCTAGACAATAGATGGGTATTCTCTTTACAAGATCGATATACCAGACTAACGCAGTTGTGGCTCAATACAATCAAACCCTCACAGCAATGTTCCTAGTGCAGGGGTCAGCAACCCAAATGTTAAGAAGAGCCATTTTATCATCACAAATCTTACCACCTTGGGACGCCATGACCTTTCGTGTCCATTTTATTGAAGTAACGTTTCACCATCTTGGCTGTAAATATGTCTCAGGATGTGCTAATGTACTAATCTATGCTAACAATATAGCTAATATAAATGAAAACACAGACTTACTTTGCTCTAGGCTTTAGCTCAGCTATAGCCGCTTTTCTCGCATCTCCGGCAGGAAACTTTTCCGCAAAAGTAGAATAGTTTTTGTGTCTCAGTGTTTGATTTTTTACAAGACTGAAGTCGTTTCTCATTCACCAGCTTCTTGTTTGAATGTAACTATGGATACGTTTACACAGCAGGTAAAAGTGGCCCAAATCCGATTTGGTGATTTTCTCACCACATCCGATTTTTTTGTTTGGCTGTTCACATTGTCTGTTAATTGTGGCATATATGCAACATCAGTGTGAACAGATCAGCTCCTAAACCGACCCGCATGCGCAAAAGAACAATGCTTCACGTGGCTCATCCAGAGGTGAACAATCATGACAGCCAGTGAACGCCAGTCACTCCTGGAGTTTTCAGTTTCATCTTCGCCAGCATCACAGGAGCGATTATGAAGTTCCAATGGTTGACAGCTCATCACCCAGAAAGTGTTCAAATTCACCGTAAAAAGGGCACGTTATTTGGCCACGGCCACTTCTTTGGTTTGTGTCCTCGGATTCTTTAAACTTTTTTTTTTTTTTTTGACGCTGTAGCCTCGTTTTCCTACGGTGGTTGAGATAAGTCTCTTCTAATTTTTTTGGTACAGAAACATCAGCCTAAATGTTTATGAGTCTCAGCAGTGCAAAATTATGACGAATGTTGAGTCCGACTGATGTAAAAGTCGCATGAATTCCAATCTGGCTGTTCAGACTGAGTCACACTGCCCCAGATCAGATCTGTATCGGATTTCAGTACCACATATGAAAGCGTCTCAAATCAGAATTGAAAAAGTCAGATTCAGTGTGGTTTTTGCTGCTCACACTGACACACAGATCACATATCTGTGTCACATACAGAGAAAAAGATCAGATCTGGGCCACTTTTGCCTGCTGTGTGAACAAAGCCTATGTTGCTAATGATTGCACTATTTAAGGTGGGACATGAAAATTCAAAAAACCTTTTAGTGTTTGCAGATTACATGTGTCAGGAAACTGGCTGGAGTGCTTATAAATGAAAATAAGTCCATTTATCTCCAGATTATCGATGTTCGTCTTAAATCTCTGTCTTTGCCTTTTCGTTAGCTTCTACCTAGGTGAGATTGTTGTCTGCATTGCTAGCTATGTGACCAGCGGTCTGCGCATCAATCTTCAGGGTGAATAAGCAGTTCAGTACACACAACTCAAGACCATGTATTGTTAAAACTGTGCTAGAACAATCAGCAGAGCTTTATTTTACTGCAAAGGAGCATTATGTCATTTTCACCTAAAATCTAATTCTGCTGTGGAGCCGCAACAGGGCAGTAAAAGAGCTGACCCCTGATCTAGTGGAAAGCCTACCTGAAAGAGTAGACACTGTTGCAGCAGTAAAAGGGGACAAATCAAACTTGTTGATTTACATAACACATATATTTGGCTTTATTTATTGTTGGGGAAAAGGACATTGGTTTTTTCTATCTTGGCCCTGCGCTTTATTCCCGGGGGAAAGTAATACTGCCAATTCATGAGAAAACCAGGTGTTGAATCTTTGTTTAATCTGGAGTTTTCTAAATGGAGCATGCTTATTGGTAAAGACTTGAAAGTAAATGCCAAGTAGCTAAGGGCCAGTTTAGAATCAAGGGTTTGCAAAAGTATGAAATAAATCACTTTGGTAAAGGTCATGCAAAAAACTTTGTTTATTAAAGATCCTGTAATTTCTCTCCTTAATAAATCAGGGCTGACCTCTCTTCAGTCTTAAATCTCAGACATGGGCTGTAGAGTAGTGATTGACCAACCCACAGAAAGCAC